TGCAGGTTAGAAGACCAGGCTTAGAGAACAGATAGCAACCTAGGAAGGTCTGGAGCCTGAGCAGATCAAACCACACAGGGCCACTGTTCCTTTGCAGAATTGGTCTGACCTTCCAGCCTCACTGTAATCAATTTGATGAAAAAATATTTTGTCCACCTTGAATGCCTGACTGACTTAAGATAACCAGGGGCAAGCTTCTGATCCATGTCTAGTCCTATCAGAACCAAGGATCTGGGCCCTCCGTGGAAACCAGAAATAGGAGACTGAGAGCAGAGAATTTCCATCAGCCTCAACTCCAAGCAATGGGAAATTTCCTCCAGAAAAATTCTAATAAGGTGTTAATGAATGCAGAATGTAAAAGCTGGGAAATTCTCTAACTGCAAATGTATATACATTTAAAAACAAAAACAAAAACAGACATTTCTTGGTGGGGTTGGAAAGCAACCCAGCTTGATTACTCAGCCTTTCCCAGTAGGAAACTGGATTGGTGAAAACTTCAAATATAACACAAAGTCATTTGGACAAATATCATCCTTTGATATCTTGTACTTATCTCTCTCTAAACCCATTCTTTGTTGCCACTATAATCAGGGTAAAGGAATTGTTCAGTCTTAAAGATCATATTTTGGGGCAAGTAAACCTGTAAAGCACATTTCTCAAATAAAAGGCAGGAATAGAGGAAGATGAGGAGAAAGTGATGAAGAAAAAAAAAAGGAATGAAACCTCGATTAGAAGGGCATGGAAAGGAAGAGGAGAGAAAGAAAACAGGAAAACATAGAGGGCTGAATCACAAAGGGAGAAAGCTACTTGGAACCCTGTGTTCCAATGCTTGGCTGTTACTGAATTTACCAACCATGAAGATCAGTAGAAATGGAGTAAAATAACTGCTGACAAAAGGAGGAAGGACTTAGTAACAAGATCATTGCTGTAATGATAATAATTTTTTTTTTTTCATTTTACTCTAATCCAATATAAAGTTTGCTTCTCCCATTGAAGGAAATTATGAGAAGAAACTTCACCTCAGTGACTGAATTCATTCTCCTGGGATTGACGAATCGCATGGAATTACAGATTTTCTTCTTTGTGCTGTTTCTGGCAGTTTACATGCTCACTGTGGCTGGCAACCTTGGCATGATTGTCCTCATCCAGGTCAATGCCCGGCTCCACACACCCATGTACTTTTTCCTGAGCCACTTATCCTTTGTGGATCTGTGCTTCTCTTCCAACGTGACCCCAAAGATGCTCGAGATTTTCCTTTCAGAGAAGAAAACCATTTCCTATCCTGCTTGCCTGGTGCAGTGTTACCTTTTCATTGCCTTGGTCCATGTGGAGATGTACATCCTGGCAGTGATGGCCTTTGATCGGTACATGGCCATCTGCAACCCTCTGCTTTATGGCAGCAAAATGTCCAAGAGTGTGTGCACATCCCTCATCACGGTGCCTTATGTGTATGGAGCGTTCACTGGCTTGATGGAGACCATGTGGACCTACAACTTAGTCTTCTGTGGCCCCAAGAAAATTAACCACTTCTACTGTGCTGACCCACCTCTGATTAAGCTGGCTTGTTCTGACACCTACAACAAGGAAACATCAATGTTTGTTGTGGCTGGATGCAACCTCTCATTTTCTCTCTTCATCATACTTATTTCCTACCTTTATATTTTTTCTGCTATCTTGAGGATCCGCTCCACAGAAGGCAGATGCAAAGCTTTCTCTACCTGTAGCTCTCATCTTACAGCTGTCACTATATTCTATGCAACACTTTTTTTCATGTACCTCAGACCCCCCTCAAGTGAATCTGTGGAGCAGGGAAAAATGGTTGCTGTATTTTATACCACGGTAATCCCTATGTTGAACCCCATGATTTATAGCCTTAGAAATAAAGATGTAAAAGAAGCATTAACCAAAGTGCTATCACAGAAAAAATAATTTTCCTTAAAAAAATCACTGTTATTTTGGTTACAAAGCATTTCTAGACATTTTTCTTATGTTGTAGGACAGAATTGATGGTGAAATGAGAAATATGGTACATTAACAGAGAACACTGCAGTTTTTAAAACTTTAATTATTTTCTAAATTCCAAGCACTTAAAAGTTTAATTAAAATGTTTTTGTGTTAGTATTTGTCATTAACTAAACAATCATCTTGTTGGCCAGATATTTTTTGTTCTTTGTCTTTTGTGCATAGGATGGCTTTACACTTCTATCTCTTGGATTTATTTGAGAGCATATGGCTATACAAGAAAAACAAGATTAGAATTCAGATATGTCTGTTGAGTATTTAATTGCTTATGAGAGCACTATTAAATGGGTATTAATTTTTCCCTTTGTTGGCCAGCAAGAACTAAGATGATGGCTGCTCAGGTGAAAAGGAACAGAGTCCTCAGCCAACTCACAATGGAAATGTAGAATGGCTGATACATATATTTTATTTTGATAAGCTATTAGGAATTGTTGAGTTTGCTTATTTCCACAGCACAAAATAGCCTCTTCTGATTGCTAACAATATTATTAATAATTATTCAAATTCAAATTGGCTAAAGTATGTAAAATAGAAAGTGAACATCACAACCCTTGAAGAAATCATATTTGAGATTTTGTTTTGTGTTCTTCTAGTCTTTTTTCTGCTTTTATATACAATGTGTTTAGCTAAAATTACTTATTATAATTATTATATATAATTATCTCTATTAAGATAAGGTGTTGTTATTTTTTTCATCAATTTCTTCATTCCTATTCTACAACCAACACTTCCTTTTCTTCATTTTCACAATGGAATGACATTTTAATTTTTACTTTAATCAATACTTATTGTTAAAACTACTATGGATATAAAATCAGTAATGCCTGAAGAATACTATGAGTAATACTATGAGCATCACTAATACTTGTATTAATTATTCATATTATGAGTAATACTATCATTATAATTCTCTTCCTGCAAAATTGTTTGGTTTTCATAGAGTTAATAATTGTTTCTAGTTTTGCTTTTCTTTTTTTACAGTAGCTACTTTTCTACAAACTTCGCACTAAACTACAAAGCTCTTCTTTATAGGGTCAAACAAAATAGGTGATCTATAGTGTACACATTTTTTTCTCAGAAGTCGTATATCCTCTCATTGGATTCATCTCTAATTTAAGAGATATAATTTGGGGATAATGATTCTTATTATCGGTTTAAAACATTTTGTTCATATGCTCTATATTAATTATAGGGAAATATGCTACAAACTGGAGATTCAACAATATGCAAGACAGAAAACAGTCCTTTATTAAATTAAGGGCAGGGTACCCAGATAGTCAGTTACCTAAACAAACAGACAATAAAACATTTCAGGTACTGGCAAGTGGGATGGTGACATCGAAGCAGGATGAGACACTAACGAATGACTTGGAAGTGAGGATCATGCTCATGTGTTAAGTTCAATGAATGGAAAAGGACTGTGGAGAAGATGACATTTGAGTTGAAGCCTAAATAATGAGAATGCAGCAAACATCAGCAGATCTCTGGGATCTGTAACCAAGAGAATCAACAGCAACTACAAAGTTTCAGGAATAGCCTACATATTGGGGTAGCAGAAAGAAAGGCCAAGTAGCTGGAGCTTAATAAATGAGAGAAATAATAGGAGGCATTGAGGCATGACATGTGATCTCTTTTCTTATTGGATGGTGCTACACATTGGCATCATTGACAAGACAAACAAATTGCAATGTTTTCCTTACATATCCGCATTTCAGTTACTATTGTCTAACATGTGACCAATATTCCCTCAGGTTAGATAGAATGTGAGGATTAGTAATTTAGTTAATCAAGTTAGTTAAATTATTATTTTTTTATTAAGCAAAAAGTATTTTATAGGGCAACTAATGGGCTTTTCTACTATCAATTTCAGATTCCCATCAACATTTTTGTTTATCATCAATTAAGACTTGGGTGAAAGATTGTCTCTTCCTGCGAAGTTTCTCTGACACATTTAGGTTCTATAGGTAACATATTGTGGTTCACCCATAGATTTACAATTATGGTATTGCATTTTAACATGATAAAATAATTATATGCACATATGTCTGTTTCTTCCACTAATCTGGGAAGTTCTCAAAGGAAGAGGAGTCTTTTTTACAAAATGTTTACCACCTTAGCATAGTGTCTGAAAAATAAATGATGCTCAACAAATGTTTTTTGAATGAATAAGAATTTGCCAATCCCTCCCTCTTTCTGCCTTTTCCTGTGTTTATGACCAATTACAAATTTTTCTCCATACTCCCTTCTCCCATTCTAACATGTATTCAAGGCAAGAGAATAGACGATCATTTTGGTTTAGTAAAATCATGTCCATGCTCTTTATCTTAGATGAATCACTGCAAGCTCATTGAGGGCTAACCAAAAATTAGCAAATATAATTTTATTGGCACTGGACAGGCATGCTCACACACTATCTGTCTTTTTTTAATTGAATTGAAACAGACAAAAGTGGATGCTGAACCACACTAAATGGATTTAAGGTAACTATTTTTCAGCGAAATATCTCAGTAACAATGCATCTTCCTTGAGATCAATTTATGATTGTACACAGCATTTGAGAAACATCTGGTCACTTTCATCACCTTTGCAAATATCATTTCACTTTGATTTATATAACAATGTTGTAATTGAAAAATCATCCAATGTGTAATGAAATTTAAAAAAAAAACTTTACAGAAACAAACTAGGCAGTCTGGGACAGAGGAAAGAAAAGATTGAGTCATGATTTGAGGTGTTAGGAAACAGAAGGGGCCCCGTTATTGCTCAGACAGGCAAGAGGTTTGGTGAGAATCAGCCAACAGTCGTTTACTGAGATGAGGAAATACCTTATACTGGAGCAAGTACATTCTTGTGCAATGCCTTCTCATGACCAACCATCCCAAGATTCATGCCACCTGATAGGTGGATTCTGAGCATCTCCTTGCCAACTAGCAAAACATTCTCCTCACATTGAGATGAAGGGGGTTGTGGGAAAAGGTTTGGCCTCACCGTTGTCAGAACTGGATTTGAGTTTCAGTTTTATTATTTATTTTTGTTGTTGTTGTTAGCTGAGTAAATGTACAGAAGTTACTTATCAGTATCAGTTAATTGTCAACTGCAAAACAGCATTAGTGACATCCATTTCTTTGGGTTATTGTGAATATCAAATATTATTCCTTAAGTACATTTTGAGGCAAGTATGCTCTTAGTTCCATTTTGGACTTTATTTTAGGTAAGTCTTCTAAACATGGGAAGCGTGATAGAAACAAAAAGTTAAATATGTTAGTCATTAATTTATTAAACATATACTTACTGATTATTGTCTGTGTCAGGCACTGTCATTGTCCTTGGTAGTTGTCAGTTTCCCCTATCTGTGACAGTCATAGGTTTTGTTAATATTTTTTTTGAAATTAATTACTTATACCTAGTATAATTCATTCACATATCTTAGGCATACCAGCAACATGCAAATTCCTTTAGAAGGGATATATTTTTATTTTTTTTTATTTTTCAGGTTAAACACAATTTAGCTTTGTACTTAGTAAATATTCTTGTGCGAACTTGTTGAAGGACAAGCATTGTAGGAAATATGGTAGTGTTCTATATATGGTGAGGATCATTATCTGAATTCTATTTGATGAGAAGTTACGTGTCCCCAGGGTATTTTAGATTTGGTCTTCAGTATTGTCTGAAGTACCACACTAGTATTCATAATAAGCAATTACATTGCACTCCAGTAGTATAAAATATGGATTTTTCTCCTGTATGTTGGTTCAAGATAATGCAGCACCACCAATTAGCATTTCTCCCTCAGAGGATGTTTTCTGCTGGGATTCTAATTCTAATTGCTTCTTTTGAAACATTTGGGAATCCTCCTGAGATAAATGCTGATGTTAATATTGTGGGTATAAATAAATCATCCAGCACTGGCTAGGATTTGACCTTCAGGGTCATCACAAAGACACCTGTATTTTCACAGGTAGGAGAGGGAATGTCTTTGTATGTTATTAATAGTTTTCAGTATGTAGTAATTTATGTGTTCTCTTCATTAAAATGTGCAAATTTTAAATAGTGATGTGTTGAAATAGGTAGTTTGGGGACAAACTTGTACAGACAATGCATTTGCATGAAAGAAAATCTGTAGGATGCTTACTTAGCTCTTTCTTTCACTGTTATGATATTTCAGTATAATTCTTTATTATATGTATTCCAGCAGATTTGTTCACCACTATCAGTTTCAAATAATATTCATTTTTGTATTTCTCATTTGCCTAATGTCTTGGTGTATAGTGTTACCAAAAGAAAAAGACAAATTGGAAATAATTTAGGTTTAAGTAACTTAATTAATCATTTAAAATTTTTCTGACCTATAAGAAGTAAAGTGAATGTTCAACCACGCTTTTCCTTGTGACTCTTAAACATAAGGCGAAATTGTTCCTTAGCTTCAATATGTGGAGCTAAGAGGCCTAGATGAGCAGATCTCTAAGCCCTGGGTGGTTCTTTTTTTTTTTTTTTTTTTTTTTGAGACAGAATCTCGCTTTGTTGTCCAGGCTAGAGTGAGTGCTGTGGCGTCAGCCTAGCTCACAGCAACCTCAAACTCCTGGGCTCCAGTGATCCTTTTGCCTCAGCCTCCCGAGTAGCTGGGACTACAGGCATGCGCCACTATGCCCGGCTAATTTTTTATATATATATCAGTTGGCCAATTAATTTCTTTCTATTTATAGTAGAGACGGGGTCTCACTCTTGCTCAGGCTGGTTTTGAACTCCTGACCTTGAGCAATCTGCCCGCCTCGGCCTCCCAAGAGCTAGGATTACAGGCGTGAGCCACAGCGCCCGGCCCCTGGGTGGTTCTTTTATTTTATAAGATTATGGATTCTTTCCTAATGACCTATTTCTGTCTAGAACCTGGTTCTTGTGCTCCAGAGAAACTTTATTTTTCTTGTTTCATAGCATTAGCATTTATTAAATTTTATTTTTTATTATTAGTTTTTTTTATTTCAGCGTATTATGGGAGTACAAATGTTTAGGTTACATATATTACCTTTGCCCCACCCAAGTCAGAGCTACAAGTGTGTCCATCCCCCAGATGATGTGCACCGCACCCATTAGGTATGTACTTACCCATCCCCACCTCCCCCCTTGCACCTACCTGACACCCGATGAATGTTACTATTGTATGTGCACATAAGCTTTGATCAATTAATACCAGTTTGATGGTGAGTACATGTGGAGCTTGTTTTTCCATTCTTGGGATACTTCACTTGGTAGAATGGGTTCCAGCTCTATCCAGGGTAATACAAAAGGTGCTAGATAACCATTGTTTTTGTGACTGTGTAGAACACCATGGTATACATATACCACATTTTATAGACCAATCATGTACCAATAAGCACTTGGGTTATTATTTGATTTCATTTTTTCCAATTAAGATTCTTGAAATATGAATTAATCTACTCACAAGCAAATAACTAAATTGGGCTGGGGACCTGAAAACAGTAAGTTGATGAAGATAATTCTGTTTTGCTAGGTTGCACATATAGTATCAGAATCATTCTTGGTTCATCATCAAATTTACAGGTTGCATTTGAACACTTTGCTATGACTGCTTTTTGCCTCTCAGCAATAGTATGAAAAATTTCCCATGGGCCATATATTCGTATGTTAGTTGTCTCTGTTTGCCATAGTCTCACGATTCTATAATTCAAATATGGCTAATGATAATGGTTTCCACTAAAAAGGATGCATGTCTAGACGACCAGTTGGACCTGAGCAAGTGTGCAAAGCTCCGTAAGACTCATTCAGTACTAAAATACAGATGATGGACCGAAGAAGTTGCTCATTAGCTAAGAGTTAAAAGAAGAGCTTTTCTTCCTTCTTGCCAATTAATTAAAATTCTTAGGTGCTATCCTAGATTCTTGGCTCAAATTTCTTCCTATTCTTTACAGTTAAGGCACTGATACCTAGGCTGCCTGTCTGTCTTCTTGCTCCTCCATCTCTTCTCATTGTTATAATGTCTGTCTCTATCATCTGTACCTCCAAGAAAACTCTAACTCCAGATCCTCTTTTATTCATATTTGGTTACTCCAGTAGCCCATAGTGGCAATCATCGGGGCAGGATAGCAGGCAACAGTATTAGATCATTGAATCTTACCACTTTGGGCAACAGTTATTATTCAAAGGAAGGAGGAGATTGGCTTTCCAGGGAAAGTAGAATATTACAGAAGAAGATCACCACACTGAGAAGTATATGATTCCTCTCCTCATTCTTCTGCTCCTGAACTGTGAGTTGGGGCCATAATGTTAAGTTTTCTGAGCCTGGTTACTCACATAACTAAACCTATTGCTTTTATCATGTCCACTGCCCTAGTTCTAGCATTCAGCACTGTGTCTAGAACTTGAAAGATACCTAGTAATTACTTGCTATAAGCATGTGTACATAAACTAATGTATGGCTTACAGGGTTTTACAAAGTGACTTAAAGTGTTTTCTGAATTATAAAATTTCATGTTAATAAGATCTGAATAACAATTGAAAGACTTCATACTATTTAATAGCTAATATGTCTCCATATTCTTAGGGTAGGTGAAAAATGAAGTGCTATTCCCATTGATTTCTTGAGCCTGCTCATAGGGTGTAAGTCATTTAAGCCTCTGACAAGTTCTCTGAGAATAAAATTTTCTAATATCAGAATTATCCCATGGGAAAAAAATATTTAGTTGTAAATTTCATTTTATGGAATTATTAGCATACTAAAATTATTTGTGAATTTTAATTTAAAATCATACTAACATACAAAATTTTAACTTATTTTGATATATCATATATTTAAAATAGTTTGTGATAAATTCAGTAAAATATATACTATCTATATAATTTATAAACAAATAAAATATGAGGAATACACTGTTAACTACAACCTAAGATTAAAAATATTTGTATGTACAGTGTAAATAAAGATACAATTTAATACTTTTTAAATAATCAATTAAGTGAACAGCAAATATTGAAATAGTTACTCTTTTCAATCTGATCCGAATGCCTTGTTTGTCATATATCAAATTAAGTAAATGTGTAACTTTTTCTGTAACATTGGTTACAGTAATTTTTTTCCAACCGTATATAAATAACTCACTTCCCTGACTACTACAGTTTTATAGTAAATCTTGATACACAATAGGTAACACTCTGCTTTTAAAAGATATTGACTTTCCAGACCTTTGCTTTTCTATATAAATAATAGAATCAGCTTACTTGCAGAAAATTGTGTTAGAATTTTGTTGGAAATGTAATTGACTTTATGGATCAATCCAATTTTTATGGGGGAGATTTATCTTTTCCTGCATTCAGTGAACAAAGCATCTCTCTCCATTTTTAAGGTACAGCCCCCCCCACACACACACACACAGATAAATACAGATGTTGAGACCTAAGTTTGTGTGGCAGTGGCATCAAAGCAGATCAGACCATTGGGTTTTCTGGGTATATTAACAGTGAATAAGTTCAGGTAGAGAAACTGAAAATATAGCTGGGTGCAGCGGTTCATGCCTGTCATCTCAACAATTTGGGAGGCCAAGGTGGGAGGATTGCCTGAGGCCAAGGAATTCAAGACCAGCCTGGGCAACATAATGAAATCCTGTCTCTACAAAAAATAATAAAAAAAATTAGCTGGGTGTGGTGGTGAGCACCTGTAGCCTCAGCTACTTGGGAGGCTGAGGCAGGAGGATGGCTTAAGTTCAGGAATTGGAGACCGCAGTCAGCTATGGTGATGCCCCTGTACTGCAGCCCGGGTAACAGAGTGAGAATCTGTCTCTAAAAGAAATAAATGAATTTTTCATCATTTTAGGGTGATTGAGTTAATTCCTTTTATCCTAATTACTAAACTATATGTCAGAGTTAACACAATGAAAGCACAGGAAATTCACTGATGTAGGACTGCTTTACCCGGCAATAGTAAAGGGAATGTAAGCCTAGCTGAGGACTCTAATGCTGATTCTGTGCAGCATGAATGCAGTAAAATAGCGAGGAGTTGAAATACAGGACCAAATTAAAATATATGCTGAGACTTTAAAGACAAATGAATATAATATCTTATATTGAGTTGAGAAATGAATATATGAATATGCATAAGTATACTTGTTCAACCCTATGGGCAGATTGACTAAATTATGTCTGGGAATGGAAAGAAATGTTGTTAACTACTTAATATCAATGTTCAAGACTCAAATAAAAGGGTTTGTTTACATAGATACCCCAAAATTAATGTATAAAGCAAAGAAATAGCATACACATCACCAACACAACCACCACCAAAAATAAGAAAATAAATAAATAGAACTTCTTGTCAAGTGCAGCAATAAGCACTGTTAGTAAGAATTAGACTTGGTGAGATATATAGTATATTAGCAGATCACTTAGTGGGAAAATATGAGATGAGGGTATGAGTGGGATAAGTCACTTTGCCTTCCTAGGGTTCTGTTTCTCAGTCTTCAGAATGAAGAAATTTGCTTGGATTGTCCTCAAAGTCCTTTCCAACTTTCTAATGTATCTTTTGTGTATATGAAATCATGTAGATAGGAGTTCTAAGCATCTCTAAATGTCTATTATGATTTATTATTTGACATATATTATCTGTTTTTTATAGATTTCCCAAAGTATATGGATAATTCAATTTATAACTTTGTTTTAAGCCTCCAAATTAATTGCATGATGTGATTACAAATTCAGCCTGAATGAAAAGCATTTGACGAAAAACATTTAGACTTGCTTCATAGTGTATCTATTCCTATCTAATTATAAAAATGCCAATGACAAAGCATAGCTAAAGCCTTCTAAATCTTTTTACACAAAGTATAATATTTAACTAGGCTTTAGTGACTAAAAAAAATTCTTTCCTGTTTTTCCTTAGATAATCAAACCAATGCCTCACATATGAGACATAGAAATGTCCAGAAGAAACTACACCGAAGTGACGGAATTTGTTCTCTTGGGTCTAACAAGCCGACCAGAGTTGCGAGTTGCTTTCTTTGTGTTGTTCCTTTTTGTCTACATGGTCACTGTGGTAGGAAACCTGGGCATGATTGTTTTAATCAAAATTGATTCTCGACTTCACACTCCCATGTACTTCTTTCTCTCAAGCTTGTCTGTTTTAGATCTGTGTTTCTCCACAAATGTCACTCCCAAAATGCTAGAAAATTTCTTATCCAAGAAGAAGACCATTTCGTATGCAGGTTGTTTGGTGCAGTGTTATATTGTCATTGCTGTGGTCCTCACAGAGCACTGCATGTTGGCAGTCATGGCGTATGACCGCTACATGGCCATCTGTAATCCACTGCTCTACAGCAGCAAGATGTCCAAGAGTGTCTGTGTCCGCCTGGTGATTGTCCCTTACGTCTATGGCTTCCTCCTCAGTGTGATGGAAACCTTGAGGACCTACAACCTCTCCTTCTGTGGTGCTAATGAAATCAACCATTTCTACTGCGCTGACCCTCCTCTTATCAAACTGGCATGCTCTGACACCTACAGCAAAGAGCTTTCGATGTACATAGTCGCTGGCTACAGCAACGTCCAGTCCCTCCTGATCATCCTCACGTCCTACATGTTTATCCTTGCAGCTATCCTCAGAAGCCGTTCTGCAGAGGGGAGGAGAAAGGCTTTCTCCACATGTGGCTCCCACTTGACAGTAGTCACAATCTTCTATGGAACCCTCTTCTGTATGCACTTGAGACACCCCACAGAGGAGTCCGTGGAGCAGGGGAAGATGGTGGCCGTGTTTTACACCACGGTGATCCCCATGCTGAATCCCATGATCTATGGCCTCAGGAACAAGGATGTGAAAGAGGCCTTGAGAAAAGCAACAGGAAAGCAGAAATCGGGGAAATGAAAGTACTCAACTACCAATAAAAAGTTCTAGAAGTAGTAAGACAATATTATTGGGTTAGACGTTCAAGTTTAGGCTGAATATACACAACACATTTCTAATTTTGTGTTATGTAGCTGATTGGGTTAAAATTCCTAAAATAGTGGTTGGAAATGGGAAAAAGAAGAGATGTCACTTAGGCAGTTCATTCTCATCCCTGCTTGTTTCAGATAGTGTCATTTCTTGCACAAGCATCATTTTAAACACTGTGTTTTTGCTTTGTTTTGTTTCTATGTCAGCAAAAACGTCTTCAGGCAGCAATCTCTGACTTGTATGCCAGTTTTATTAGGCTTGGTTTCTAAAGCTCTTTCAGCTTGTCTTACTGTGAACATAACTTACATTCTCAGGGTCTGTTCATGGTCTGACATGGCTGCTATAAAGCCAGCCCAGACAGGAAAATGATCTTCAGGTTTTCTAAATCTTCCATATAATATGTCTGCTTTTATTTTGTGTGTCAAAACATAATTATATTCTCATACTTCCCTGCAAGACAATCTGAGAGGTATTGATTCCAGGAAACTGTATCAAGCTGAAAGATAAATGTTCTATCTACAATTAACTATCAAGGATCACTCCATTGATGGATAATGTGCAAAATAGCATGGGAAGAAGACAGACAACATAGCTTTGATGGACTAAAAAAAGTGTTTTTCATTCAAGTTACTTTACTCGCTTACGTACACACACACACACTTGAAAATGGGTGCAAGACAAACTGTTCTCACTTTATTACAATTGCTTTGCTAATAAGCTTCAATTTATCTTAAATTGAGATTTCCTGGAAACCTCTCTCAACTAGCAAAAATGCTTTCAGTTAATCTTTCTTGTTTGAGTCTGTCTTTATGATATAGTAGTATCAGTCACTGGATAGGATTAAATAACTTAAAAAATGGATATATTATAGAGATTATCTAATCAAAAAGCTTTACATAATGGTGAGTATAATTAAGGAAAGAGAACTTGCTGATAGGGCTAGACTAAAGTTGACTTTTGCTCTGTGAAGGATGCCTTTGTAGTATCCTACTCATGGGATGGCCTATGTTTGTACAACCTAAAGCTGTTTAGAAAATACTATATATATATATATATATATATACATATATATATATATATGTAATGTATAGACAATTCTTATTTTAATAACCAATATTTTTTTCTTTTTAAAAAACATTTTGCCATCACTTCTTTCTTATTTAAAAAATGTGTTGCTAACCCAATCCAATGTTGCTTAACACTTGAAATTAATAACATTTGATTTTGCAGATGATGGGAAGATTTTAGATAACTTATAAAAGTCCTGACAATTGCTAAGTGAAATCTCCTGTGTAATATTTTGTTACATAAATTAAACATTTTTCCAGACCTGAGAATTAATCTAATGCAAGTTGTTACTTAACTACATTTTTACCTTTCACCCTTACCATTCTATTCTTCCCATTGCATTCACTGTCATAGCACCTGGGATTCTAATATGACCTCAGCTAAATTACAATATTTCTTCACCCTTTGAGGTCGTTTGAGAATCACCAACGATGCTGATGTCAAATCAATGAACAGGAAGTATGCACTAAAATTTTCTTACTTAGTGTCTTCATTGCTTGACATTACCTCTTAAAATGTCTTAGCAACAAAGGAAAATACACAATTATAACCTATGTCAGAGGAGAGGACTTGTGTTCCTCATGGATCATTTTCATAAAAGCGCTTTTCACTAGTGTGAAACCATCTGGCAGCAAAAAATTCAAACCCGAGAATCAAGAAAGAGTTGGAAACAAGTTACTAGACTGGTCTGGGTAGCACATTATCCAACCATGTAGTGACTGAGTCCAGAAACAGAACTGTTGGGGATCACAGGCTGGATTACTGCACGGTGAGGGAAGAAACATCTAGCAAACAGCATGTGCCTGATCAGAACACATCCTAAGTACTGTCCAGGTCTGATGGTGCTTCCTCTCATATCTAGTCCTGCTTTACAAAAGTTAAGGGAATGGGTAAGGCAGTAATTCATATACAGTGATTACCACTCTTTTGTTATATTGATATGAACCGACAATATCTAGACAATTGGTTTACTAAATAAGTTTTTGGATTGAAAATAGTTTGGCCAGTAGAGATACAATTTATCAATATATTAACCGTTATGGTCAAGATAAAATGGAGTAGGGTCTTCAGGGATTTGTGAGCATTTACTAAAAACTTGTTGGCTGATGGATGGCCCAAATAGTCTTTTCAGGTCATCATTGTTCATAATTTTGAGTCAATGTTATTTAATATTATATAATTACATAATACTGAAAAAAATCAAATTGTTTTTCCTTCTATACTCATAAATACTTCTGGGTCCTAATATATACACATATATATATTTTTTCAACAAGAAATTCTTCAATTCTCTGTAGTCACAACTGAGTATCCTATAATTTAATTGAATTCTGACACTGTCTACCTGGACTTAGCCTCAGATCACACAAGCTCAGAGCTCAGTCCTACAAAATTCCCCTCTGCCAACCTGCCATGTCAGATACTGACAGCAAGTGTAGGCCTCTGCTAATTCTGCGAGGCAGCCTATTAACTGGGGGTTCCTATGACCCCCTCGGGTGGGTTTTATAGTTTGCTAGAATGGTTAACAGAACTCAGAAAAACAAATTAATTTTTGAGACTACTGGTTTGTTATAAAATGATATAACTAAAGAACTGCCAGATGGAAGAGATGCATAGGGCAATGTGCGTGGAAAGGGGCATGGAGTTTCCATGCTCTCTCCAGGTACACCACCCTCCTATCACATTCATGTTTTCCAACCCAGAAGCTCTCCGGACCCCGTCCTTTTGGGTTCTTATGGAGGCTTCAGACACAGGCTTAACCATTGGCCATTGGTGATTAAGTCAGTCCCCAGTCAAAATCTCCCTTCCCTAGAGGTCAGAGAGTGGAGCTAAAACTTCCAACCTTCTAATCGTGCACGTGGTTTATTCCTTTGGCAACCACTCACCCATATTTAGGGTCTTTCCAAGTGTCACCCCATTAACATAAACTCAGATGTGGTTAAAAGGGGCTTGTTATGAATAACAAAAGTTTTACCTTTGTGGCTCTCATAATTTAGGAAATTACAAGGGTTTTAGGAGCTGCGGCCAGGAGCCAGAGATGATGACTAAATATATATTTCTTATTCTATCACAATCTAACAATTGAGTATATAGTAGGCAAGGTAAAGGGAAGTCAGAAATTTAAAAATATGAAGGATGTATTTATTAAAATATCTAGAAAATTATCCTAATTTGAGAGAAGGGGAGAAACAAAGGTAAGCTAGAAATAATCACTTATGTGGTTTGCCTGAGAAACGGGGGAATTCATATCTTTACCTTCTTTCTCTAAATTGTATTTAGAAATTGATGGGAGACATAAAACACATTCTGTTAGGCAGAATCAAGTACTAGAATGGTTTGTATTATTTTTCCTACTTGAATCTTTGAAACAATAAGTTTCCAAAATAGCAATGATTGCAGCAAGTGTCTGGAGAGGTAGGGCTTGAGCCTCCAAAGACCTCTGCATTCCAACATGGCATAGTAGCTCCAAAATGCTCCCTCCTCCTTGAAGGAAGAAAAAGAATATAAAATTGCAAAAAGTATTAAGAGGTCTCGCAGTTCTAAATACAGAAAACTCAGCAATAATCAGATAAGAATAAGAATATATCGCCAAAATATAAGCCCCAGGAAAGTGGGTATAATTTTTTTAAACTGTATTCCAGGTATATAATAAATGCATAAATAAATAAATATCAATATCTATAAATGGTGACATCAAGATCAAGAATCATGGAGTACATGCACCTGCTAGAATGTAGAAGCAGTCCTGTTGGAAGCAGAGAGAGAAATCAATCTAATTAGTTTCTTCCATATTACAAGATAGAACCTCTAGATATTAATTAAGCTCAGTTAGATAAATAAACTTGTGTGCCTTATGATATAGAAATTGAGAATTGAAAATCATACTCACTACATTTGAAAATAATTATCTTTATCAATAAAAATTTAAATCATATTTCTTAAGAATGTTCATTTATTTTCTGTCCTCAGTGGTTAAAACTATAAACATGAACAAAATAGCTATTAGAAATCATCTTTCAGCAATAAAAAAACTAGAAATTGGGAATTTATTTTTCTAAAATGTTTAAAAACAAAGAAATGACATAAAGAACAGTGAAAAACTATCAATCCTAGTTTTAGGAATGAAGTTGGTCTTAGAGAATTATATTAATTCTTTCAGAGAAGAGAAGCCCATGTAGGGTCATCAACGACGTGTGTAGGAAATATATCCTCCTACACTCACTCAGTTTTTACTAACTTTCTTACTCAAAAAAGGGAAGGGACTTTCTAGGCGAATACAAAGAAATATGCTAGTGTTTGCCAACTGTGAAGTACAGTTCATTCCAAATATATGCTGTGACTGACACAGTATTGACATGATTATTCTAACAAGGGAAACCGAGATATTTTTTCCCCTTTAAATAAATGCAACACAACCACTAGGATGCAGAGAAAATACTTTAAACGGGAAGAAAGCAAAATATGAAGTTTTTCCAGCCCTTATTTTTAAAAATTCTAATTCTGTTCAGAGAGATTTTGCTCTTGAGACTCATTTTCCATTATAGGTGATGCAATATGTAGCATTTTAATTACTACATGTTTTGATCTGTATTCTCTAGTGAAAAAGCCCCATAGTGGGAAACCCAGCCTTTATAAATCCTTCTGAATTATTCTTTGATGATGACAGATGGGAGGTCTCCAAAATATTTTTTTCTTCATGCACAGGTTGGTATATGCATAGGGAAAATTTATGTGTTTTCATAAAATCAGTCTGAAATGTCAGTCCTCTAGGCTTTTCTGGTGATTCTGAGTAGGAAGAGAATATTCTATGCAGAATTGTTAGGAATTAGGATTAGAGACTCTTCACTGCAGCAATGGAGTTT